TCGACCTTTTGAATAGTTTGTCATGATTACGCTATATCTGCTATATTTGTACTAAAAGGCACTTTTACTTGTTACTACCAAAATGTTAGGGGTCTGAGGACAAAAACTATTGAACTGTTTAATAATGTAGACATAGTTGAATGGCACAATTTTTGGTAATAAATTATTTATTGACCGTTACACGGTCTACAGACGCGACCGCGAAAACAGTGGGTTCCATGGTGAGAAAATGGGAGGTGGTGTTCTCATTGCTGTCTCTAAACGCTTTAATTTGTGCCGTTTGAGTGTACAGGAATCAGATTGTGAAGATTTATGGGTTAAAGTGGAAATATATGATAGCTTTAATAAAAACAGACACCTGTACATCTGTGGCGTATATATCTCTCCTCCAGTAAAAATGCATATACTTAAGCATTTCATTAGTAATGCCAATCGCATATTAGAAAACCACAGTGGAAACACTCTTATACTTGGTGACTTCAATTTGAGTAGCTTATGTTGGACTAAGACTGTTAGTCACACACTCAAACCTGCAACATCCAATAGTATACTTAATAACACGCTCGTTGATTTCATGTCTCTTAATAATCTAGTTCAGCACAATTCCTGTTTTAACAATAAATACAAACGGTTGGATCTGATAATGAGTATACTGGATATCACCCGCCTCTACGTAAGTACCGACCATTATCAGTGATTGACCCGTAGCATCCTCCTATCGAATTATGTGTAAGACTTAAATGTGACAATTATCTCCTAACCAAGCACGAACCCAAAGAGGAATGCCCACTCTTCATAGACATTTCGGCCATGGGTGCCCACATATAAAAGCATATAGATATGATAATATACAATTAAAGGAATGAAATGGTTAAGAAATTGGTTTAAAAAAAGTCGGGAATTTTAAGATATAAAAGTTTTTATTTTCACAAATACAGTTTTTTAACAACTAATTTTACCGATGTTATCGCATTTAATTTCTTTGATTTTAATTCCCGACTTTCGGGTACTTTCCAGCACACATGGTCATGGGGGATTGAGGTGACTGGTGTACCGAAATCAGTGTTAACTTGGAGTAACTTCAGCTTTTTAATAACTATCTATGGTCCGATCTACGCAGAATGAACTTACTGTCTTGAAGTCTTGCGTGGTATGCTTGCGTTTAGTTTTAATTTTACTAATTACAGTGTCCCAAGCAGGTGGAAATACCCAGCTTCATTCTCTATTGAAATTAGAATGTTTGAATATGGGTGCAATACATTACCGACTTCAGATTGCAACGAGGATGAACTAGATGATTCAGATGGTTCCCGTTCTGCAGTTGAATGTGATGCTGCTCTATCAAACCTTCGCCAACAATTATGACACACACGAGATGACGATGGCAACTGAAATAATATTAAATAAAAAAGTGAAAAAGTGAACTAAATAAAAATAAAATAGATTTGTTTCCTTTAAACTCAAATACATATAAAATATTTATCAAATTAATTGTTACTGCACAAAAGCAGACTTAATGGCCTATATTATTTAATAATTAAGCACTTAAAAACTACCAGTAGTCCAAAAACAATGAAAAATCAATTGTCTCATTACTTGGTAGTTGGTAAAAACGGTAGCAGTCTATCTGGTGGTGACAAGCTAATCTTATCGCCATGTTATAAATAAGCTTGTATGTTTGTCAGATATAGTTTGTGTGGATGTAATCAGAGTAAAAACATGTAACACACACTCTCAATAAATTAAAAAATGTTGAATACGTACCTCACGTGGTGCAATTTGATGGGCAATTTCATTCCTTATGAGTTCCTCACGTGGAGAATCAGACCCAAACAATGTGTGTGATCTTATTCTCAAAAGTGACTTGCCACAGCTGATACATACATGTCCATGACTATGAACAGGAAAATTCACCAATTAATAGTAATTGGTGAATTTTCCTGTTCGCTAGTTGGATGTCGTACTTGAAGGCTAGTTCGTTACTTCGATAACAAATTCACAAAAATAAAAACAAACACGCAAATGAATTCTACATGTGACTATATATATAGGTATAGATATAGTTGTGAAATATGAACTGAATTGTGATTTCATTCCATGACAGGGCCTAGCTGTCAGACTCGATGTTGCCACTTAACTGACATAAAATAGATGAAAAGATATCGATTTTTATTCGATTAATAATATCGTTAAAAAACAATCTTTGAGGTGCTTTAAGTTCTGCACACTTTTTAAAATATATTTTCCTTTATTTATTTAAATGCTATTTGAAATGTATTTTTAAGAACAGTTAAATTGTGCAGTAGCGTTTTGTTTAACTTTAACCTTTTGAGCGCCACGCTAAAAACGCATTACCGTGTCCTGTACGCCAAAGCGCCAAAACAAAATAGTGTTGCCAAGAGTTGATATATCGATAACGTAAAATAACTTGTTTTTGTTGGTTTTTTATGCTATAAATGACTCTTTATAAACTGTATGTTTTATTTAATCTTGTGCTGTCATCCACTCTTTTTATATATGTACTTTGTACATATAAACATAAATAAAAAACAAACAATAACAATAAAATAGTAGTAAACCACAGCACTACTCTCCATCCTAATGACAACACTGTCACGACTAGACGATAACGGCGTAGCTGACCTTCCTTTTTTAAACATTCTTAGAATGTTGTGTATCGATTTCAAAATCGATCTAACCGAAATATACAGACATCGATTCATAATATTTTATGTGTCGGGGAAGGCGTAGACCAAGTGAAGTACAGAAGAAAAGTCTTACACTCTTATGACAATGGGGATTTGATATGATGCTGATGCTGCTAGATGATTTTGAGACTGAGAAAGAAAATGGCACAACACAAAATGAAAAATTGCTCTTCACACCTTAAGTAAAAAAACATTAATTGTAATTTTGTATTATTATTAAAAAAGGTACATAATTATTAATTAATCAACAATTGTATATAATTATTCGCACTAGGTAAATCAGCCTTATAATACTAAAATCTTGGTCATGGAATAAATAAACATTTCATCACAATTCATCAATCAAAAATCAAAATTCATCATCATCGACGCTTTCCAAAAATCCGAATGAGTTCTGAGGAATCGTTCATGTTGCATTGCTCTACTTTTCTCGGTAATCACTTATGACGTCATCAGGGTGTCGTCTATCCTTGATCACGGTGCCCAGTGAACTGATTTTCGATGACGCGCTAAAGATGCGCTAGAGTTGAGATATTAGATTTATTATGCGAAGATAATCTGATAACATTTTTTTATTCATGTAGCTAATTATAGTTTTATGTTTCTAACCTTTAATTTTATTCAAATATCAATAATAATAGAAAAAAAACACCATTGAGCTGAATTTTGGATAGTTTTCAAGAAATATATGCCTCCCGCGTTTGACACTAGCGGTCAACCATAGACGACTTTGGCGTGCTGGACATAGTATTTGCTTAGATAAAAATCCATTTTTATTAGTTCAATGTTTCTTAGTACTTGTGGCTCTAGAAGACTTGTTTTTTATACTCACATGTTGCTGGGTTATTCCTATTTTGAGGAGTGTAGAATTAAAATACCTGTAATAATTTTCCAATATCTATATTTCATATTTTTCGGAGCCGGGTTTTTTGTCAACTATAAACGTCGTTGGCGCTCAGGGCCCGCAGGTGTTGGTCAAGTATAGGCGACTTTGGCGCTCAAAAGGTTAAAGGATTCATGGTAAATTAGCTGGAAATTAACTTGTTTCGTTATCATAACATGATTCTATTTTAAATGTATTGTTATAAACAGATAAGAATAACTTAATCGATCTTCTTTAAAAACAGATAAGAATAACAGTTCTTATCTGTTTTCAAAGAAGATCGGTTAAGATTAGCAGTTAAATTGTGCCGTAGCATTTGTTATTCTCTAAAGAATTCATTGGAAATCAGCTAGTAATTCGTTGTTTAATTATCGTAACATCATAATTATTTAAAAATTATATTAGCACTGTAATGATGACACCGTAAATAATCGATCGAAAAAGAGAATCGATTTTTTAAATGTGTTTTGTGATTGGCAACACTTTTTTTTATTCACAAACTAATGACATAATGATTTACCTAATTTTTATTATTATGTTTCCGGTACTTTTAATTTGTGCAAAAATATTCCCATTGTTTGAGGATAAATGAATACCGCGATTAATAACCATAAATAAAGATATAATTTTTTAACAAATGCACATTGTTGGGCGTTCCATGGCCGAAAATGGGCGTCCCCCCTTATATTTTTTTAAATATTAGTAATCTCATTAATTAACATTACTAATATTCCTTTTAACCACTCCTGGTAAGCTTGAAACGCTTGTGTTAGGAGTGGTTTACAATAGTAGTCAAATGGCGGATTCGAACCCACGCCCTTTTGAGTTATCGATTCGCGCCCTGCCATTAGGCTACTGTCGCTTCAAATCAATGTTTTATAAAGCAGATTTTATTAAAATTGTAAATGAATTGAATAGTATATCATGGGAAGACAAATTGTCGCGTTATGAAAACGTAGATGACATGGTAGCACATTTCTATAAAGTATTTCAATCCATCATAGTTAAACATGTAACAAGTCCAAACCTCGTAATAATAAGAAATATCCCATATGGTTTTCAGACACCTTAATTAAGGTAATCTAGGAAAAATATAAATACAGATCTAAACACCGTAAGTTTAACAACCCTCGGGATTTATTGACCTTTGAACTACTTAGAGATAGATGTACGAAATTACTTAGCCAGAATTATAAAACTTATTTGCTACGACTAGAGACGTCTTTGAAATCAAATCCTAAACTACTATGCAGTTTCATTAAATACAAAAGAGGCAGTAGTAGTACCTAACCCGACCAAATGTCTTCTGGAAGTACTCTTACTACTACTGGCCCAGATATCTGCGAACTCTTTGCTTCACAGTTCTCTTTAGTCTACAATATTGATAAACTATCTATTCCAGACGAGCACTATGCAGATAAATCCCCCGCCTCTAACTTTATTACTAGCATTTCAGTGACTAAAGACCAAGTATTTATGGTCTTAAAGAGACTTGACTCCACTAAAGGCACTGGCTCAGATGGAATACCATCTATCTTTGCTGTAAGATGTGGTGGTGCTCTAGCATTACCTCTGACCTTGATAATTAATAAATCTCTTATTTCTGGAACCTTTCCCAGCGCTCGGAAAACTTCTCTTGTTATACCGAAACGCAAAGGAGGTGATATAAACTCAGTGAAAAACTATAGACCAATATCAATTATTACGGTGTTTGCTAAAGTCTTTGAAAAACTATTGTGCCCTATAATGTCTTGGTATCTAAGTCACTTATCTGCACCGGAACAGCACGGTTTTTGAAAGCCCGCACTACCACGACTAATCTGATATCCTTCGTTGAAGGCCTAGCCGAAGCTGTTGATTATGTGCTGTCTTTCGATGTCATATACACTGACTTTAGTAAGGTTTTTGATAAAGTCAGTCACGATATGTTATTGCACAAATTATCATGTGTCGGTATAGGCGGTAATCTATTGCGCTGGTTCAGATCTTACCTAACGAATAGACTGTCTGTGGTGGTAGCAGGGGGATTCAAATCTGGCTTTTTTACTGCCTTTTCCGGAGTTCCTCAAGGATCCCATCTGGGTCCCATGCTGTTCAACGTTTTTATTAATGATATCGTTAAGTGTTTCCAAAATTCTAAGTTTCACATGTTCGCCAATGATTTGAAGTTTTTTAGATCAGTAAATTCATTAGACGATGTATTGTTGCTTCAAAATGACTTGGACAATCTAGTATTATGGTGCAAATCGAATGGTATGAGCTTGAATATTGACAAATGCCACGTGGTACGCTTCACTAGAAAAAGCTCTCAGTGACTGGATATTATTGTATTGACGATGTACCATTAAAAGAGGTTGATCATATTAGAGATTTGGGTGTAAGTCTCGATACCAAATTGCGATTTAATTTACATATAGATAGCATTACTAAAAAGTCTTCAAGACCTTGGGGTTTGTCTTACGTACCTGTAGGGAGTTCAAAAATCCGAGCACAAAAATCACAATCTATATGTCACTTGTGCGTAGTAGCTTAGAATACTGCAGCGTGGTGTGGAACCCGCACTACGACGTATACAAAAAGCGTATAGAAGGTGTACAAAAAAGATTCCTCTGGTACTTGACTTACAGTTGTAATTTAGCAAAACTCTTGCCTAGCTATAATGATCATTCGAAATACTTTTATATGAAACCTCTCGTTGAGCGCAGAGCGATGTCGGACATCTTATTCTTCTACAAAATGATAAATGGTTACATCGACGCTCCAGACGTTATATCTCATATTAATTTTGCTATTCCCAGAAGATCGCCCAGGTATAAGAAGTAGGCTCCATTCATCACAAAGTTAGCACGGTCACATCTAGGCTATTAAGCTCCTCTAAACAGATTAATAAGGAGTTACAACGAGATACAAAACAAAGATATTGGTAATACCGGGAGTGAACAAATTATATTCAAAGATGGTCCATGAACCTCGAAGAAACGTCGAAAGACACAAACTTTGGATATTTTCTCAGACCCCTTACATCGCTTTAAAAGGGTAGTCTCTCAACAGATAAACTGTTTTTAAAATATTTATTGTTTTACTTTTTAATGTTTCTTTTTTTTATTACTGTATAAAATAATTTGAATCTTAATAATTTTATTTTAGGGGTGATCCAAAAGTATTGAAAATAAAAATAAAACACGGTAATTAAAGTTAAAATAATAATTTATTTTTCTACATAGTCTACTAACAAATGAAATACATTTAGTCCATCTTTTTTCTAAACCCAGGATTCCCTTTGAAAAAAATTCTTTTTCTTGACCCTCCCAAAACGCTTCAACAGCGGCCATTACTTCGCTATCGTCTTCGAATTTCTTGCCTCGGAGGCGTTACTTGAGCCGAAGAAAGAGGTAGAAGTCACTAAAAGCTAGATCTGGCGAATAGGGAGGGTGTTCGAGCAGTTCTAATCCCGTTTCTTGAATGGCAGCCTTGCGTTGCCTTGGTGAAACAGCACTCCAGCTCGCAGTTTACCGCGTCTTTTTTCCTTAATGGCCTCCCGTAATCTTCTTATTTGATCTGCGTAGTAAGAGGCCGTAATAGTGGCTCCCTTTTCCAAATATCCCACCATAATTATGCCTTGAGCGTCCCAAAAACCAGATGCCATAACCTTTCCCACCGAACTTGAAACTTTGAATTTCTTTGGCGTCGGTGAGGAGGCACGCTTCCAAGTCATCGATTGTTCTTTCGTTTCAGGATCAAAATGGTCCATCCAGGTCCATAGTCACAAAACGGAACACAAATTTTTCTTGATCTGCTTGGAACTTTTCGAGATTGACCCTCGAAATGTTAACTCGATTTTCCTTTTGCTCGTCGGTTAACATTCTGGGTACTCAACGCGCAGAGACCTTTTTCATATGCAATTCGTTCGCAAGGATTCTTGAAACGCTGCCATATGAGATCCCTGTGACCTCAGCTACATGCCTGATGGTCACTCTTCGACCTACCAACACAACATCTTCGACTTTTTTCACGATGTCTTCAGTAAGGGACGTGGATGGGCGTCCTTCGCGATGTTCATCTTCAGTGGATGTTCTGCCCAGTTTAAACTCCTTGGCCCAGCGTGCAACTGTAGAATATGTAGGAGCAGAGTCCACCAATGTTTCCACTAAGTCACTGTGTATGTCTTTTGAAGACATTTTTTTTAAACAGAGGTACTTGATGACAGCTCTAATTTCGTTTTCCTCCATGTTGAAGAGAGAAGAGATAACCATCTCTTTGACAGTTCGTATTCAAATGAATGTATCTTCCGGAAATCGTGATCTATTTATATGATTTTTTAGGCTGACTTAGTGAGTATATAAGCAAGCAAAAAATATTTTTTTTTTGGATTTTTATGCGGACCTGAAGTAACCGATTATCATTACTTTTGGATCACCCCTCGTAATTTTTTTTAATTAGTAATTCAAATTGAAATTATCATTGACATTAAACTGACATTGTTTTCATTCTTTTATTTATTCATAAACATTTTATTCCTTATATAATAAGATTTTAATTCTTTGACATTGAAATTTTGGTATTGTTTTATATTTTCGTACGCAAAACGTAATGTTTAAGAACTGTGTATTTGTAAATCTGATTTGTACTGTTTTTATTGTAATGTTCTCTTTAAGATAACTATTAATAAAGCAAAAAGCAATGTGAGTATGACGCTCAATATTCATGTAGTTTACACCTATAAAAGAGGTATCACTGAGCATTAAATTGTTTATTGTCTACTCTTAAAAAAGCTTGTAGTGTATATCTTGTTGGTGTGACAAATAAATAAATAAATAACTGAGGAGATACGACAAAAGGGTTTTTTTTAGCAGTTAACGCGCAAACTTGTGTCTTCTGGGGGTTAAACTGGACTAGATTTAGTCGCCCCAATCCGAGACTCTGTTCAGCAAAGACTCGACTTCAGACACAAGTTTTTCCCGGTACTCGGAGAAGTTTTCCCGAGAAATATTGGCTCGGCCGGTGTAAAGAGTATCACCAGTGCTGTCATCTGCATAGCAATGAATGTTAAGGGTTTGCAACATATCATTGATGTGCAGAAGAAACAGCGTTGGCAATAGCACGCAGCCTTGTGGAACACCAACATTAATAGGCTTGGAATCGGAGCTTGCACCGTCTACAACGACCTTAATGCTCCAATCTGCAAGAAAGCTGGTGATCCAATCGCACAATTTCTCGGGAAGCCCATAGGAAGGAAGCTTCGAAAGAAGCGCTTTGTGCCAAACCCGATCGAAGGCCTTCGCAATGTCCAAACTTACGGCTAATGCCTCCCTCTTGAACTCTACTGCCTGAGCCCATCTGTGAGTTAGGTAGACCAGAAGATCACCAGCTGAAGGACCACGGCGAAAACCGTATTGGCGATCACTAGTCAGCTGGTGATCCTCAAGTTACCTCATGAGCTGGCAGTTAACAATGGACTCCATTGTTTTGGAGAACAAGGAGGTGATGCCGATAGGCCTGTAGTTGGACGGGTCTGAGAGGTCGCCTTTTTTTAGGGATCGGGTCGACGAAATCCGTCTTCCATGATTTTGGGACTACACCTAGGGAGTAGAAGTACCGGAAAAGACGTGTTAACCTGTTAGCTCGCGAGGCCACGTAATATTGACACTCCCGTTCGCTCGCGACCTTAAAATGGCGGAAATCGGAAAATTTTCCGTAACTTACAAATTTTCCAATATTTTCACTTTGAGACAATATTTATGGATAAAACTTACAGGAATTCTTCTTGAATGTATAAAGTATCGAATAAAATAATTTTTAGATGTTAGATATTGAAATAAAATTCATAAATTACCCTTCAAACACATAGTACTAGTAGATACTTCACTTTTAGGCACGAAAATATTAATAAAATAATTTCTACACATTTGTTTTTTGAGAAATCTATATGAAAATGTTTGGAAATATATATTATTTTATGTTTTTATGTGTTTTTATTCGTAACCCATACAAAAAAAACAAATAAATACGAGTCAAACATAACCCTTGTTTTCCGAAATTCAATTTTTCATATGAACTTTGAAACATTATTTCTCTTATATTTTGTGTGAATTTGAAATAAATACAACACCAAATTATTTGAAATATGTAATATAATTATTTTTTATTTACATTTTACAGTAAAAATAAATAAAAATGGAAAAATAACTCATTTCTTACTCATCCACGAAAACGAAACTTTTTCACCATAAATCCACATATAACACACTCAAATATGTTTCGACACAAATGAAATATGTTTTGAATAGCTCATTTATATTGTTATTTGCAATAAACATATACAATTCAATGCACAAAACATAAAAAACAACAAATAAAATAAATTTGAAGAAATGTATGGAGCAAATAGTGATGTGGCGACGCTGGTATATTATCGATATTTTTTTTGCAATGTAGTAGGCAATAATCAAATTCACCTGTTTGACTTTTTGTAATGATTTTATATTGAATTTACAATAAATTTATATTTTTACAATTTTTGAATGAATTTTTATAGAACCAGCATGGTGGCGATCACCACATTCCCAGTGGTTATTTTCAATTATGTATTCATTTATATTATAATAACCCTTTTTGTACAATTTTTTATCCAAATAAAACATTCTTTCAGTCAACATTCATAGCCATTCACATCCTTCTTGAACCCGCTACTGAGGACGAGGAGGAGACCGGAGACTCTTTATACTGGAAACAAGGCATTCCATCTTAGTCCTCACAGGTCGGGTTGGGATAAATGTAGATGTCTTAGGGCCAGTGCAACCATTTACCATCAGGTGAACTGTGTGCTCGAACACTTACCATCAGGTGGACTGAGTGCTCGTTTGTCACCCTTACCTATAGAAAAAGACGAGGAGGAAGAGAGACCGCAGACCATTTTTACTGGAAACGAGGCATTCCATCTTAGTCCTCACAGGTCAGGTTGGGAAAGATGTAGATGTCTAAGGGCCGCTGCAACCACTTACCATAAGGTGGACTGCGTGCTCGTCACGCTCTCACAGAATACAAGCTTTATACTGCTGAGGAAGAGGAGACCGGAGACCCTTTTTACTGGAAACGAGGCATTCCATCTTAGTACTCACAGGTCACGAGGGGATAGATGTAGATGTTTATGGGACACATCAACCACTGACCATCAGGTGGACTGAGTGCTCGTTTGTCTAAAGGAACAGTAGACCCTTTGACACTTTTTCATGGATTCGAGGCATTCCTCACGGGTCTATGAACCACAGCAACCACTTACCATCAGGTGGACTGTTTGCTCGTTTGTAACCCTGTCATTACAATATCCAATTTCATACTCAGTAAATACATTTACTGAGTATGAAATTCGCGGAAGCAATTTAGTAGACAGAGCGGCAGTCCACATTCCTCACACTCATACACCGTCTTCGACCTTTTGCGTTCTTTGTGCTGGCACCACACGCAATGGCGTCGGCCGATATTGGTGCGGTGCTGCCCTGTACTCCGCATTTCATCGGTGATGGGTATGCGGCGAATGAAATGACGCTCTGTTAGCCTCCCTATTGGAAAGACAGGGGGAATGCGCTGATCAATAGGTCCTGCTGGGCGAGGAACTAAAGGAAGGTGGCGCTTTATAATGCTATCAACCAACGCCAACCGAAACGCTACGGCATCGAGTTTAGTATTGGTTGATTTCTCAACAATGACCCTTGCGTTTTGAATAGAAATATTCAAAAGGCGTTTGAAAAGTTTCCGGTTCCATTTTAAACACTGTTTCCGCTCGACTAGATAGGCCTCCAGCATAGAGTCGAGGCGGTCTACTCCCCCCATGGCCCGATTATAATCTTTTATTATATTAAGCTTATACTCTGCAGGGTGGCCCGGACGTCCAGGAACTAACTCTTGCGAGACGCCATGGTATGTTGAGATACAAGTCACTCGCTTGCGATCTTGTAGCGCAACAACCATGACGTCGTCGGAAGCACGAGCAATAAATTCCCCTTCCTGCAAGGGTGCACGTTTTATGGTTTCTGGAACCCCTTTGCGAGTCGGCCGCAGGGTACCGACGCAGTCTGTGTTGCGTCGTTTTAGCCAACGCGCCAGGGAGGGGGAATTAAACCAGTTGTCCATAAATAGCGTGTGCCCCAGGTTGAGGAGAGGTTGAATCAGCCTCAACACTGTGGACACGCTGGATGGTAACCCCGTCCCTGTCGTGCGGCCCGCATACACAAAAAACGACCAAAGGTATCCTGTGGCCGACTCGCACAGTTCGTAGGTTTTTATACCAAACCGGGCTGCCTTGGTCTTTATGTATTGCTGAAAGCTAACTGGCCCTTTCCAAAGAGTTAGCGATTCATCAATACATATATTCCGGTCCAGCTGGTATAACTCCTGGAACTTGGCATTCAGGTGGTCGAGAATGGGACCCATTGGGTGCAGCGGATTATTTGGGTCAGTTCCATCGGCCAAATGAAATGCCGCATTAAGGTTCCAGTAGCGGGACTCTAAAAAGAGGGTGCGAAATATGTCGGTCTTCAGTAGAGGGTTCCTCGTAAAACAAGATTTAATGCTTGGCATTCTAATAATGCCAAGCATAATCCAGAATGCGAATAACGTCCAAATTTCATGTAAATTGGTTTTAAACCAATCTCTCATGAACCTTGGACGCTGCTGTGCCAGAACCGACTCTGCATACCGGTTCGATTTCTCAACAATATGGGTCATGATGCCAACTGTCCAGATGGCATGCATGGCCTCATAAGGATCTCGAATCGAGACGGTAGGCCCAGTCGTTTCTGGTACAAAATCGCATTGCCTGCCATTCCACTCGTTCATCCCTCGCCACACAAATCTTTCATTTTCATTCCATTCCTCACTCTCATTCTCCTCTTCCACATTTGCAGGTATTC